AGTTCTCATATTTTTCGCGACTCAAAGGGTAGATTATCAAACTTTTATTGTCTAAATTTTGTGAGTTGTTAAGCTAGCTAAGGATGATTCCAACACTTTAATTGAGACAAAAGAACAAATGAGCAAATAAAGATTATTAAACTAAAGAATTTGAAAAAAGCTACCAAGAATCTTGATGCACTAATTACTCTATGATTGAAAAAATGGACGTACATCAATCTTTATCCCTTTTTTTATTAATAAAAAGGTGGTGGCAACTCTAAGGACAAAACCATCGTTGTTGATGCGTAATATATTCCTAACAATATCAACATCAAGAGAGCTTCATTTTCCCCTTCTACAGCCACAATATAAGACTTAAACTGTGTGCTCTCATAATCGGATTATCAGGAAAAAAAAAAAAAAAACTGCTCTTAATTGCTTGTCGTTATCATGTTTCAGTCGCTCTCGAAAGAGCTACATAGTGATTAGTGATGACATTCCATCATGGAAAGCAACCTTTTAGGGGAAAAATTTACTACTAGCATGTTGATTAATTTAATTGGTAGTGTACTCGGTGTCAATTAGGCAGACAATATCTTACAGTTTTGCAATATTTCAAAAAAATCCTATTTTTATATTCCCCAAATAAATGGAGATCTAGCTGATAATTCTTAGCAACTTCAATTTTATTTTATTTTTTAAAAAATGGAACCACGTCAATAACGGGTCCATATACTCTCATTTTTATTATGAAAGGGGAAAAACATATAAATGTGTATATATACATAATAACCGCAATATGTTTAAAACTTTTTTTTTTTAAAAAAAAAAGAAGTTGTAGCATCGATCAAGTAGCAACTGGGAGAAAGTTATACTTAATAGTCTCTAAAAGAAACTCATTATTATTTAAATACTCCATTCATTCTAGAATAATCATTCAATTTATTGAACTAAAATAGTTTGACAAAATAGATTTTATTATTTTCTTGGATTAAGAGATAATGATATAAAGTTCAACAAATACAATTATTTCTTTTTTCCCGCGATGAACAAAGTACTATTTTAATATAACGAAATGCTTCAAGGAAATGGAGCCATTATAAAATTATCAAGAAGCAGCGTAATATTCCCCCAAACACTAACATTGTTATTAGGTTAGTAAAACATAATACTATTCTTTTTGATTCAAAATTAAAGTATCTGAACGAATATAATTTGGACCTGCGAATATTTATTTATGAAAAGAGACATTTTTATTCGATGAAGAAAATGAGGAAGATAGAACACAACATATAAATGATACAGTATATGTAAACTTTTTACATTCTGCTTATGTTTTCTAATATGTATGTACCCATGGTCCATGCCTCATGGAGTGTAATTTATTAGAGGGCCGTACATGAACCTTTTGAATTGTAAATGAGATATATTAATCACCCTATAAAGCCTATTGTTTTGGCTCTTTCATCTTGGAAAGATTTGTTTTCGGTGAGTAGATAAGGAGGCAGCCCGGGGACCAAAAGCGATGAACTAGAAAAGCTATACCGACCGCCTCATGAACTTGGACAAAAACCACCGGATGGACATTAAAAAGGTTACAATTGAGTAGCATTTGTAATTAATAATTCGACATTATAATCTTATAATGCTCCTAATCTCTCTTGCCATTGCAGTATAATTTATGGGAGCTGATAAATTTAGAGCTAAAATTTTATATTGAGAGCAAAATTTTTGAAATTGCCTATATTACCCTCAGTAAGATTTCAGTACATCATACTTATTAGTCCTTGAATTTCTCCCTTCTTTCCTTAACTCCACCTCTTTTTACAACAACAATAAGGAAAAAAAAATTTCTTAAGAAAATAATAAATTAGAACACCAAAAAGCTTATCATAACCTAGCAAAACAACTAAAAATGATTTTTTTCTTACTGGCTTCAAATAACTTAAAAAGGAAAACAAAGTAAAACTTCAAAAAAGTTCAATAAAAATATTTCTCAATATTTATATGTTGAAACTGTTGGAATTATAAAATCATTTATATTTTAACCAAAAAATATTTAGTATTTTGATTAGTAAAAACTGAATCACTAATTAATAACGAATTATCACGCTAAGATGCAATAATACTAATGGAACACACAAAATAACTTATTCCAAAATCTTTTTTTTTTACTAACGAATAATGCATATAAAATCCTAATAAAAGAAGAATACTTTTGCTATGAGGAATTCAATAAAGATTTTTTTTAATTATATCTAAATTTTTAAGTCTCAAACATAATATTTCTCTTTTTCTTATTCGAGAAGTCATAGTTTCATAATTTTGCAAAAAGAGATACGAGAATTAAACATTAAAGAAGAGAAAATTAAGGATGAATAAACATAGTAAATTCTTCAAAACTTAAAAGAGGGTAATATTGACAATTGATAAGATTTTGCTCTCATTATAAAATACTTGCTCTCAATTTATCTATTCCCATAATTTATAACCAATTGATTAGATAAAGCAAAGATTGCTAATAATTAAATAACTAATTTCGAGAAACTAAAGATCCAAGAAAAGTATAGAATGCATGTGAAGAAATAAGTTGGTGGTGACAACGGGGGGATAAAAGAGAGAGAGGAGAAATGGTGAGGAAATGGCCTAGTTAGAGTAGTACAAATAACCTGCGATATGATAAGAGTTTAGAAAACAGAAATTATACAATGACCTAGCTATATTAAGCTTCTAGAAAATCGATCTTTGATTTTTAATAATCTAATTATCGTATTATTCTCAACTAAATAGCCATCGAAAGACTAACTATTGAATTTAATTTTGGTTGTGAATGAAACAATTAAAGATTAATGCATGGTACATCTCTTAAAATCATTATTATTAAGATTTTAAAATGGAAAATTGACACATTGACCCCTTTCATTGGGTCAATTTCATAAGAGGCACTCTTTATGTGATCATTGAAAATTATAAGCTATTTTCTTTCTAAAATCCAATATTATATATCCCTAGCTATGATTGTTTCAACCAGCCATTTGTTTTTTCACAAATAAAAGTTTATTTGTTCATTTGGCACAGTGGTTTTAAGCCCTCTGTAAGAGTTGAAATTTTAGGAGATTTTAGGTGGAATAAATATTTTGTAAAAAGACTAGTGAAAAGTTCAGGTGTTAATGTGTCAGAAGCGATTTGTGGTAATGCATGTCATAGCTTTCTTGTTACCTCAGTTCTGTTGCAGTTGGATCCTTCTTATATTGTAAATAAAAAGTGTTTGGAATATATGCATAGTCTAAATTAATTTCCACATGAAGCATTTGGAAACTTTTAGCGCTTTATAGGTCTCCTTTTATGATAAATAAAATACCAAATTATGCTCAAGACTTAAGTACATGTTCCATTGGAAGGTTTTCTACTTTTCCTGAGTCAATTGGTTTAAAGGATCTTCCATTCATTCGATCCAAAGTCGTGTCATTACCCGTTTACCTATATATATATGCAGCCATATTTTTCTTTTGTCCACAATGATGTTCAACTCTCCGAGTTAGCTAGGGTTTCACCGTGGTCTCGATCACGTGGGCTATATAGGATTTTGTCCACTAAGAGCTTCGATAGAGCAAAAATTCAAACTCTTTCAGCATTAGAAAATGTGTCAATCATTCTACAAATAATACACAAATATTTTGTATGGAAACTTTCGGTGTACTATATACGCTCCATGGAATCCATAAAATGACATAGCCTCGCACATTAAAGAAGTTCTTCGCATTCTGTTTTGCCAAAGGATGAACAAGTAAAGGAACATTTTGTTTCATTTTTTCTTTTTTCCTTTCTGTTACAAGATATTTATACATATCCGGTGTACAAAATTAGTCTGTGTTTGTTAGTTTCTTCTTTTTTTTTAATGATTTTGTAGATTAATTTATCAATAAAATTAATATGCATGTTTCGATACATAATTTTATATTTTTAATAGAAAAAATATTTTAAAATACCTACTGAAAAAACAATTTGAATATTTCGATTCTCAAATGGGAATCCCCGGAAGCCGCACACCGGAAGGAGACTGAAAACATGTCAGACACACACACACACGGAGGGAAGTAACCCCTACTTAAAAATGATGCAAATCCCTCACCACGACTTTAATGCATTTCACGTCCGCTTTGACTATTCGAAAGCTCTTTTAAATCATTGCCTTTTCTTGCCACGTAACCCCCCATAGTTGTCAACAAACCCTCTTCAAATGACGAGTCTACCCCCTTCTTAATTCACTCTCTCCGAATCTGTTTTGTTGCAGTTTTGTTGGTTCAATCAAAGTAAATAAATAAGATTAGAGATTGGAGTTGTCCCTTCACTATATTGGGAAAAACGTTACAGACACTTCCAAATCTTATTCAGTTATGCGTATGCAATCATAATACTCATGGACTTCGGAAGATTTTTAATGGAACAATTCTAGATTTTCAAACATTTAAAATACTCCCTCCATCAAAATAAGTATCGTCCTACACTTTGCATATAATTTAAAAAACTCTTAAATATGGTAATAAAATTACTTGAATATCCTCAACCAACCCCATTATAAAATTGTCCACCAATGGCATCAACTCTTTTGAGGGTAATTTTGGAAACTTTTGACAAAAAGTGCATTGAAACGTAAGAACGACACTTATTTTGGAATTTCTATATTTTGCTAAAACGACAATTATTTTGAAATGGAGGGAGTACTTTTTATCTGCAAGGGAAAATTTGAATAAACTTGTTAGCTATTCCATATAGTATACTCTTTCGATTTCAAAATGATAGCTCAATTTGAATTTTTCATTTTTAATATAAATTTGTAATAAAAATAATATCCTAATTAAACTGAATAATCAATTTGGACGGACAGATATAATACACATCGTACAAAAGAACAAAAAGAGAGGAAAGTGGGATGCAAAGGCAGTAGTACTGGAGTAGCAGTAGAAAAGGCAAAAATGAAACTATATAAACGGTCTCCCGCTATTTGTTTCCATACTTCTTTCCCAACACCAAATTAAAAACTCTCTTCCTCCTCTTACTCTCTCTCTCTCTCTCCCTTTCTGTCTATCTCATTTAATTCTCAGCCTTCGTAATTTCCGTACCATGGATGATGATCGAACTACACGCGCCTCCGTCATCATTGTCGGTGCTGGCATCTCAGGTATATATATGTATATATATATGGGGCCTAATCATTTTTCCCCACGGCCCCATTCTATCATCTCTGATCGCAATCATTTATTAAATTGTTTTTTTTGTTTGTTTTGATAAATTTTTGAAGGGATAGCGGCGGCAAAAGTGCTGGCTGAAAACGGGGTGGATGACGTGTTGATATTGGAGGCCTCCGATAGGATCGGAGGGAGGATTAGGAAAGAACAATTCGGCGGCGTCACGGTGGAGCTCGGCGCCGGTTGGATCGCCGGCGTCGGCGGCAAACAGTCTAATCCGGTTTGGGAACTCGCCCGGGAATCCAACCTCAAAACCTGCTTTTCCGACTATAGTTATGCCCGTTACAACATTTACGACCGAAGGTACGTAAATATTACCGTCACCGACTCTCACTTTACTACAACGTACTTACACAATTTAATTTACCGTCTTCTTCGTTTCCTATCAGTAATTCAACTTTAGTTAGCTAACTCAACGTCAAGATTCTTATAAAAATATGCCTTTTTTCGCACATCAACTTTTGTTGGTTCTTCTTTTATTTTATTTTTTCTCTTTTCCGATATTACTTTTTGGTTTTTCAGTGGGCAACTAAAAGTTTTGCCAATTTGTAATGGAGTTCATAGAAAGGAGCGTTTAATTAGGCACAAATTTCAGTTAGGTAACGACCGTTATTAAGCTAGAGAATAATGATTGGGGATATGATGATCACTCATTCTATCACAATCTAATTAGGAGTTGGAGTTAGTAAGTTTTGGTTAATATGAGAAAAAAATTTATAATAGAAAAAATCTCATTTTATTATTTTAGAGAAAAAAAAATTAATATGAGTAGTAGTAGTTATCCGATACTTTTCTCCAATTATGATGGCGGTCGAGTTGGTTAACCAGTAGCAACCTAATAATTTTATTAAATTTTTGATGTTGATCGAGGTTTTTTTTTAAATGTTGTTTGTTTTTTGAACTGAAGTGGAAAGATAATTCCAAGTGGAATAGCGGCGGATTCGTACAAGAAGGCTGTTGATTCCGCAATACAGAAGTTGAGTCAAGAACAGGCTTCCACTGCTCATGATGTTTCACTTCTTGCCGACTTGCCTTCGTATGTTTTTTAATTGTCCATTTTAATTTATTTTTAAAGTATTTCAAAGGAGGTTCACTGGCAATAACAAAGATTAATCTCTATCGCATAACTTTTTATTGTGTTGAACGAAAATAGTAAAAGTAAAACATATTAATTAATTAGACTATGAATTCGAGTCGGGAATAATTTTTTTTTGCACCACTGAAAATTCACTCACAACAATTGTTTTTTTTTTTTTTTACCCATATTGGACAGTGCTCCAAAGACTCCCGTCGAGCTGGCAATTGACTTCATTCTACACGACTTTGAAATGGCAGGTGAATTTAATTTTAGTATACCACTTTTTCTTTTGCGTTCCTTATTAAGATGCCAATTATATCTTTGTTATTAAGAAATTAAATCGCAAAGTTTGAATTTTATTTATTTTTTAATGCAAATGCAGAGGTAGAACCAATATCAACATATGTCGAATTTGGAGAAAGAGAGTTCTTGGTTGCTGATGAAAGAGGGTATGAGCATTTACTCTACAAAATGGCAGAATCCTTTCTTCATATCTCGGAGGGTTACATATTGGACAGCCGTTTGAAACTCAACAAGGTAATTTATTTGTTACATGTCGATCCAATCTAGTTCGCAGGTACATGAAATCATCTGTTTTACTCTTCGTGTATTAAAATACTGTCGTTTAAATGATAAAATCACTTTTTAGGATAAAATTCCTTTTTAAACTCAAATCGTTTTATTGATAAAATACAATTGTTAGAGTGACAAGATTGGTTCTAGTCTTTGGGTTCCATATAGCAAGAATGGAATGTATGGAAAAACCAATGATTCGTAATGATGAAAATCAATGTCCACCTACCAAATTTTCTAATTTATGCAACGTGTTCGTTTTTTTAAGAACGTTTTCTTCGAAAGAAAGAATTCTAAAATTTTGATAATTGACCAATCATCAGCTTGGAAAAAGTTAGACACGTTAAGAACTACAATTGGTCAAATTGAGAAGTGTTAGGGGGGAAAATAAAGGTGTTTAGAAGTGATTATAGTGCAAAAACAATGGAAAACTGTTTTGTAATTATGCACTTTTTCTTTTCTTTTCTTTTTTTTCGTTAAAAAAATCTTTTGTTTTGTTGCTGTTGGGATTGATAGACCTACTTCTAATGTTAAATTAAGGAAAGTGACTTTTTCATGTTAGTTTTTTAGAGGGGGGCACGTACGTTGGTTGATGTCATGAGTTTGGTATATTTTTTTGTATTTAATTATGTTTTTTCTACAATATTTTATATAGAGTGTAACTGTATAACACAATTTATCTATAAAAAGCATAGGGTTCATTGGTTTGCCATTGGGTAAGTGGAGCATCATGTTTCCTAATCAGCTCCAAAAGGATATACTAATTAAACTATGGCTTCGCAACTAAAAACTTTATGCTGAATCATGCATCATCAAATTACTTGAACTAAATATAGTGACGCAAAAAGCCTATAAGACTATAGGTATTAAGAAATGGATATGGCTTTATTTATTTTTTTTTTAAAGAAAAAGAAATGAATACTTTAATTAGAAACTTCCAGCCGGATTAATTTCATAGTGAAAGTAAATCTTATGTGTTTTGTCTTCTTATATTAACATATATCTACTTCTTTTTATGAATAAAAAATCTTATATTTTGTCTTTAAATATCTACTTCTTATATCATGATTTCATTAAAGAAAAATCAAAATCAAGTCTTTTTTTCTTACACTTTTTTCCGAAAATAAAATGTTACACTAAGTGCCTACAAGGTAACTTTATTTACTCGTGTGGATATGTAGGAAGAGTACACCAAGAAAGTGAGTTCAAAATTGCAACTAATTGCCTTTGTTTTTATTATAATATTCGTGTTTCTAAAATTGTGCTATGAAATGGTTGGATAACGGTTTTTGTTATTTTGTTTTGTAATTGATGTTATAAGGTCCAAATTTATTTCTTCCACAAGGTGGGTCCTGAAATCCACCAATGCATATGAGCTATGGAAGTAGCTTCATGTAACAATGATCAAATTGAGTCAATTGACCTAAAAAAAAGGGTGCAATTTTGTAGAAACAAGTAGGCAGTCAAATCAACACGATACAAGGAGCTTCAAAGGTTGAAAAAGGTCGAAAAACGTTAAAACAAAAGAAAAGGGGAATAGTCCTTTTTCAATTTCTTCGTTCAAATGATGGTTGTGGTAATTATTTGGGAGTACTTATTATCGTGCATTTGGATACTTCTTTGCGAGATTTCAACTTTCAAATGCTAGTTTTGTCCGATTGCCGTTCTTTAAATTGATAGTGGTGAATATGTTTTTTTTTTTTTTTTTGAAAAGGTACCTGTATATTGTCAATTGTTTGTCAAATTAAACGATACTTTCCCATGTACTGGTAAATCTTGGACCAATTTTAAGCAAAAAGAAAAAAAAAAGACCTCAATCTCGAAAAGCTGCGTTAGTTTAGAATGATTTTCATATCTCAATGTGATCAAATGCTAAATTTTGGCACAAGCTTTCTTGCATGGTTTGACTTCGGAAAGGGGAATCAAATTGGGATTGATGGAGGTTTTGATTGCCCTTAGGCCACTGGATTAGTGCACAATTAATTTAAGTTATTGTGTGGAGTTTTTCCTAATGATGATAGAATTGAGGCAGGTTGTTCGGGAATTGCAGCACTCGAGAAACGGCGTTTTGGTAACAACGGAGGATGGTTGCCTTTACGAAGCTAATTACGTGATTTTGTCCGTTAGCATTGGTGTTCTTCAAAGCAACCTTATTTCCATTAGACCTCCCTTGCCCGTAAGTCTCTTTTTCATAAAACTTAACTAAACGAGTAAACGTCACATAAATAACTAGAAAGATTGTTCATCCAAATAATTGCAATTATCGTTACTCTTAAATTGGTTTTGCCCGTGAATTTATGGAGTTTCACCTCATGTTTTTTTATGATAAAAGAGGCAATCGATTAAAAAAAATGTTCATATTGAGTCTCGAGAGGGGTCATGGCAGTAAGGGCATGGATCCAAGATGTCAATATTATTAGATCTGGGACAACCTAAGTTGGTCACCTGCACATTAGGATTTATTTTTTGGATCATGGCTGGCAACGTTCTTGCTCATTCGGTTACTATAGTATTTTGCATGGCACAGAATCATGTGTTGTAGATTCTCACTTGCATAAATGTTATTAAAATGGCCATTATTAGTTTTGAAGAGCTAGATAGGTCAGTGTTGATGGACAGTTAGCTAGCTTTAGCTACCCCTCATTAAATAAGGTTTTCTTAATCAATCTTACTGATAAAACTTGGATTTATTTAGAGATTGAGGAAAAGGTATCTTGAAGTCTACGTTTTTTTTTATCTTGTCTCTTTTGTGAAACTATGGGTGGATTTTGCATAATCCATGTTCTTGAGCCGTGTTTTGGACTGATTTCCAATACTATGGGTTGGCATTTTTTTGGGACATAATCTATGTTTTTGAGGCATCTTTTAGACTCATCTTCTGAAATACTATGGGTGACAATGTTTTTTTTTTTTTTTTTTGTGTGTGTAAGATGTGTTTTGAACTTATTGGAGGAGTATCTTAAGCCTTTTTTTTCTTTTTTTTTTTTTTGCAAATATTTGAGGATTTTGTATATAATATGTAGGAAAAGACAGGTAATTTATAACCTCCCGAATATTTTAATTTGGTGTTTTGCATTCATTTGGTGCGGGGTCTATACTTTGATTCTTCTCCTTGATCAGTTGGATAACAAGGTTTTCGCAATATGTAAATTGACGAAGAATTCATGCCTTGTTTTAACAAGCTGTCCCATTAAAGAAAGAGAAGTTTCAAATGTCAGTAATTAAATCCAGAAATTCACAACAAAAAGTTTTAGTAGCATTGCAGACATCTCTAAAATTATATCAACTCGAAAACTATTGATTCTGTCTTATACAGATACTCTCAAGATGTGATATCACTGTAATTTCGATTATTTTGTTTTGGATTATTTCTTAAGAACATTTACTTGATTTTTAAGAGGGCTAGCTACTTCCATATTCAAAAACAGTTTCAATGCGTAATTTGTGGTCCCTTTGAATGAGTAGGATGAACTGAATTTCCTCAATCATGTACTCGCTAAATTAAATACTGATATAGTTCTTTGGAAAATAATGTGACAGAGATGGAAAACAGAAGCAATTAACAAATGTGACATTATCACATATACAAAGGTGTTCTTGAAGTTTCCTTATAAATTTTGGCCCTGTGGGCCTGAAAAGGAGTTCTTCATCTATGCCCACGATCGCAGAGGCTACTATACCTTTTGGCAGGTTGGTGGTCATTGGTGTTATTGTTTCTGTTTATTCATATACTTACAATAAAGTGGAGCTTTTTATTTTCCTTTTATTTTTCCGGAACGGAAGGGTATTAGTATTATTTTTAACGTACTGATTAATTATGATATTCTCTCCGTCCCATAATTATTGTCCAGTTTGGATTTTCATTTTTAGTTCAAATTGTACTAAAATTGAAATCTCAAACTGGACAATAATTTTGGGACAGAGAGAAGAGTATTTTGTACAACTATTTTTCTATTGTATTGTAAGTATATCTTTTTGTGTTGCATCTAACCCCCTCCCTCCCAAAAAGATATTACGTATGTTCAATAAAAACAATACAAGTGATGAAGGGATTACTAACTACAGTATCAAACAAGTAAAATGATGAAGGTACTTTGCTTTGAAGTGAGCTGACTCTTTTTGTTTGTGTGATATATTGCATTGTGAACACCAGCACATGGAGAATGCATTCCCTGGGTCTAACATACTGGTTGTGACATTAACAAATGAGGAATCAAAGCGAATCGAAGCTCAACCAGATGGCGAAACGATGAAAGAAGCCATGGAAGTTCTAAGGAACATGTTTGGACCAGATATACCGGATGCAATTAACATAATTGTACCGCGTTGGTGGAACAATCGATTCCAACGTGGCAGTTATAGCAACTATCCTATCCATGTAAATCACCAGCATTTTAATGACATTAAGGTCTGCAATTCTGCACCCCTTTTCGACATTAACCTTTCTGAATATGCTTGAAGTTTAGTATTTTAAGTTCATTGTAGAGAAACAAAAAGAGTGACATGTTTTAGTTGCTTTGATCCTGCAGGCACCAGTAGGAAGAGTATTTTTCACAGGTGAACACACAAGTGAAAAGTTTAATGGTTATGTTCATGGAGCTTACCTTTCAGGTAAATGAAGTACATTTTCAAGAAATCAACATATTATTATCAAACAAAAGCGAAGATTTCCTGTCAAAACTATATATGGTGTATCGGTTGCATCTCATTAGTAACATAGCATTGCCTTTTATTTATCAGTAGCATGCCGTTTCAGAAATTGAACACGGTTGATACGTAATAAGTAAGACGGAGGATTTCATTTGTTTAGGTTCTGAGTCCTGATTAACTTGTGAGCAGGAATAGATACAAGTAAAGCTCTTTTAGATGAAATGAGGAAGGATAAAGGAAGGAAAACAGAGAATACTCAAGCTTTTCTACTGGAGCCCTTGCTTGCTTTGACAGGATCATTAACATTGGCCCAACCTGATGCATTATCAAATTTGCACAAATTTGATTTGCCTAGACAAATGTTCCTTCCAGAGCCCATCTTATGATGTGAACAAATGGATGTTCTTGATGTTTCAAGTCTGAGAAATTGGGAACAAAAATCACACACCAGAGTGATCGGCCAGCATTAACAGGATTCTTGATGAAGTTCATGGCTTGACATGGAAGAGGCCTGCAGGGGAGACCATTAGTGTGAACATGATCTTCTAATCATTTAGGTAAGTAGTCAAATTGTGTCTGATTAACAAATAGTTTGCTTTTGTTAGAGATTGGGTTTGGGGGCACTAAGATTTGTTCCTCCAAGGTAATAGAGTTTCTGACCAATTCAAATGTAAGAATATGATAGCATTGTCTGAATTGCAATTCCAAAAATCTGGCAGCAATGTACTCTTGGATGCACCATTTTCCCTGGTTAGAAATACGCTACACACTTCAAATAACTAATTCACTAGGCCTTAATTATACTGTGATTTAATGTGAAGCATAAATTAAAAGGGACTCAACATTCGAGATATAAAGCTGGACAGAATGATCACTTAAAAGTTGGTGATAGACTGATAATGTTTCTGGACGCTAATCCATCATCTTATTTGCAGACGTCTAATATTACTGTAGGAAATAATGCTATTTATAGGTGAATGAGAAATTCGTTTCTCAGATGATTGGAAATAGAGTATAAATATTAATTGATGATTGACTCGTGTAAAGGTGCGGTCTGGACACACGAAAGTCGGGTTTAAGTTCATGGTTTTGATCTTCTCATGTTTTACTACCGGTTTTAGTTTTCCAATCATTTTAGTAGAGAGTAATATAGAATTTAATTGAAATACTAAATAATGTTTTCATTTTCTAAAACCAAAACGGTTTTTTTCCATTGATATGTTACTTTTATTTTAATTAACATTGGGAATGAATCACTAATTCTAATCTAATTCAATTGGTAGCTATGGTGTAATAGAAAATTTTATATTTCTTCGAAAAAGGAAATGGATCAAGTTGATGAACCAAGATGTGGATAAGAATCAAACGAAAATCATTTAGAGATGACTTGAATTCAAGTTGTTAGGAAATGAATCATGAATTTATGTTAGTTCCTGCAATGGATCTTTTTGAAGAAGTCATAAAGAGTGTATCGATTCTATTTTAAAGAAGCATACCAGGGAGTAAGGGAACTTGTCACTTGTAATTAAAGTAAATAAACAATGAGTATGTTTAAATGATGTGATAGGGATCCTCTCATGATGAGATTGAAGGGTGTTTATTTCAATCGCAATCTAGATATGAAGCATTAGGGCTGCTAATTCGGGCAGTTCGGGTGAAATTTGGTTCGGTTTAATCAAAATTTTCCTCTCATCAAACCCGCCCGAAATCGAACCGCAAAATCTATAAAACCGTACTGAATTGACCGGATAAAATATCGGGTTTATCGGTTCGGGTTCCCTTCACCCGCATAGTTTTTTCCAAGAAAAAATTGACGAATTTAGTAGTATAAACGACTCTTTTTTTCTCCCAAAATATAATCTGAACAAATATTTCAAAGTTTGAAGAAGGTTATCCCTACAAAATTCTTTAAAAAAGAAAAAAAATATACAAATAATTTAGTGCGCACAGAGAAACTTTTCATGTTGCTTGAATCGTTGCCCATTGACCGTTGCTGAAGAAACTTGAAGGAGTTGCCGATAGCTGTCAGATCTGCGACTGGCCGACCGCGATTGTGATATAAACTGGAGAATTGAAGATTTGAGAATTGGAGTTTTAGGGATTTCTATATTTGAGAAGGAAAGATTAAAAGAAAATAAAATGAGAGAAGTGTTGGTGACTAGCCACGAGATGGAGAAGAAAGAGGAAAAATGGGAGATAGAAAGAGGGAGCAGTAAGAGGAGTAGTGTGGCGGCTACGAAGAAAGAAAATGAGACAGCCATCAACCCTAGCATATTTAGTATATGTATTTAAATATATATATATTTTTAGAAAAACTCATTATTTCGGATTTTTGGGCGGTGCCCAAATGAAAACTTTTCCACCTGCATCCGCACCGCATTATCTCTTCGGTTGATCGGATAAATCCGCAATCCCCCGATTTCACCTGAATAACCGACCCAGTTCTCCCGAATTGGGTTCAGTGCAAGCGGATTTTCGGGTTGCCCCAATTAATTGAGAGCCCTAGAGTAACTCATGGGTTTAACACTCTAAAGTACTGGCATTAAGATTGCTAAACTCTTTATCATCTTGGAACAAGAAAGATTATCGATAGGAATTAAAGAGTTTGGCAAATGTGTCTGTGTCAGGCATTTGATGCCTTTGCGTGAAAGACATACCAAATTATGCGTAGTAAGTCTATTAAAATGTTGAATCTCAATATAGCATAGGGGACTCACTGATGTGGTTTCAGTGTTTAAAATCATACGAATAGATGATGATCTTATTTTGGGTCAAGCTCACATAAACAGAACTCTTGTGGAATTTGAACAAGAATGATACTAGAGTTGCTGGAACAATGAGATGATATTCCTCATTTATCCTTATTGCGTGGAAAGGATGATCGAGAGACTAATGCATCTAACGAGTTGCATTAGACCATATAGATGCTTATGATGAAGTAAACTAGTGAAGTGCATACATGAGTAATAAAGAGCGGTCCATTCCTTTGGCATTGATAGAGTACTTAGTACTTATGAAATACTTGTAACGCTTGGTGGCATCATACTAGATATCAAACTGAGATAGAATAGTACGCATATACAAACTGGATATTGGGTACAAAAAACTCAAACTGCTAGTAACTATATTCATGTTTTCATACTACATGGACATAAGTGTCTTTCAAACACCCTAAACTAGATTGTGATAGCTAGGTTCGCAGGGAAATCTGATTTGTGTACATCGAATAGTTGTGAGTAAGAGGCTAAATAGTTTCATTAGTTTGAATAATATTTCAAAACAGAGATAATTGTGATGCTGATCTTTTAATCAGAGAAGTTCACATGGTTGATTGTATAATGGTGAGTTTACACATGGTACGTTTATGTTGTAGATATAGTATCAATATACATATGCTCTCATTTACAGTTATCTCAATTGACTAATTTTTGGCTGATAATGTTGCAGATCTACTAACCTTGAAAGGATATAGAGAGATAGTTGAGAGAATGACAAAAGAAACGAGATAGCCTGTATTAATTGATATATCAAACAACTCCCTCAATAAAAAATGAAGATTTAGGTTTTTGTTTTTGAGTCCCGTTCATCATAGTTGGCTCAAAAGAATCATTCCCTAATGACAATGTTGGAAGTAGAATTATTTTTAAAAAAATCATCATCATCATGTTGCTCCTTACTGTATAGTTGACGAAATATCTCTTATTACCACTCCACTTAAAAAAGCAGGCATTTTGAAGTTATTATGAAGAAAGTTGGTCCTTCCCGCCAATATGGTTGTTTCAATTTTAGGGTTAACTAATGGTACGCGAAACATTTTGGATGCATTTAAACTAATGGATAGTATCAAATGATAAGCATTTGAAGAACATACATTGGACTTAATTTATAAACAATTACTAGACAATTTAAAATTATTTCTCTTAATTTATAAACAATATGAGATATTTTAAGAAGATCGAAAGGTTTTTTATCAAGATGTTACTTCATATATGGATTGATGAACAGAGATGAGGAGGGTGGGTGAAAAATGTAATTTATAATCTTTATTTACAAAAATCTAAAGATCAATTTTTGAATAGTTTAAAATTGGTGTTGGACAACGGTGACGGTTAGTATTCGGATGTCAATTCCTCTTTTTTCCAACTTTGCCGTCTCAATTACCCATGTGGCTCCCCCCTCCCCCCCAAACTTTTAGTCATCTCCATCGATCGCAACCTCATCCTTTTTACGTACGTTTTTGATAATATAGTATCTATCTCCATTTATCTTTTACCTATTTGAAAAAGAATTATCACATTTACATCCCAAAACTTTCACCTCAATCACATGTTACCCTATTGAGTTTCTAAATTTTGAATCTCACATCATTAAAAAAATTATGTTTCACAAAGAGTGAATTTTACTTTTCTAACTTCCAGTTAATTAATACTAGAGGATGTTGTAATATTTTTTTGACGAAATCCTCTCCCCAGCCACCACCATAAAATTGTTTTTTTTTTTATTGTTTACCCAAAAAGCTATGAAGTCGCCATATCCAATTACAGCTTTCTTCTTCTTCTTCCCCATATACGAACTCACTCCCTTAGTCAAAACCATATAGCCATCCGAGATTAACAAATTTTATCTCTACAAGATTAGATCTATATTTTCTCCACCAAAAATATTTGGGGTAGCACGAGATCTTAGTATAGGTCAAGAATATTTGAAATATTTGTTCTTGAACAGTTTGAATCTTCCTTACTCGCTCTGTGCAATCTGTTCTTTTTTGATCCTTTGTTATTGGATCTTCTTTAGTTTCACATTTGTTCATTATTTTCTGTGGATTGGTTTGTTTTTGCCACTTGTTTGGGTGAGTTTTACACTCATTTGCCGTTTGGTGGATTTTCTGTGTTTACCAGTGTTGGATCTGGTTGTTTAGGTGGGTTTTACACTCACTCTATGTTTATTGGATTTGGTTGTACTCTTTTTGTCTTCAAGCTCCGACTCACTCCTCATAGTTTTGGAGATTATTCACAAACAACGACAGATTCTATGACAACGGGAGAGAAGACAAAGTTCACGATGACTGAAGGCCATGCGAATGTCATTCGATGTTTCGGAGTGGAAACAGAAGGAAAAGAAAAAGTATAGTCCAGCACCGAGACTTATAACTGTAGTTTGAAAGATATTATTCAAGCTCGAAGCAGAGGATAGTCCATGGAGAGAATTGACATGGGTAACTTGCTGGATAATTGAGTTCCAACTGTTTTCTTATTGCAAATTCTAAGAGGTATGGTTTCTGGATTAAAACATATCCATGCCTTGAATTATGTTCATGGAAACCTCAGTCTAGATAATATCATCTTCGCCGAATTGACAGAAGGTCTATGTCCAAAAGTATTTGGCTTGAGCGAGAGCAAGCGAATCCCAGGCGGTCAAGATTTTGTTGAACATTCTTCAACTTGTGAAGAAAAGGATCTTGGTTGGAGTGCCCCAGAGACAATTAGGAAGAAAGGCCAAACCAAAGCAACAAACATCTTTACTCTGGGTTGCATCATTTTTTCCTCAATCACTAATGGACAACACCCTTTCGGCGAGGGGGAGGACCGAATCACCAATTTACGAGTTTGTCGAACTGTTAATCTTCTTAGAATAAAGTCCTATTTATCAGTTGCCTACAAACTTTTGGAGTCGATGCTGGATCAGAATCCAGTAACTAGACCTTCAGCAAAAGACGTGCGAGCACATCTTTTTTTCTAGGATCAAGCTGAACGTTTACAGTTTTATTGTCTTGTGAGTGACATTGAACTAAGGAACCCCAACGGGGCCTGTTTTGGTACTAATCAAATAGATTTGGATGACATATATCCTCAAGTCTTTCTCACATCAATGAAGAAATTCTTGAATTTTAGGGATGTTAGTACCTATCCAGTTACGAAGTTTTTAAAACTTGGCCGAAATACGAATCATCATCCGAAAAAGTTTGAAAAGCATCTGCCGAGATTTGCTCATATGACTCCAAACCAAGGCGATGGACTCTATACATATATGGAGCATTTGTATCTAGATCTCTTCATTCAAGTCTATGAAGTTGTAAAACCATATTTCAAGATGGAGGTTAAGTTGCAAGCTTTTATTTCACATGTTACTTCACGTTGGTATTTGGACAATTAGGTTATGATTTCCTACTGGAAAAGTAGTCATATGATGATGTTTTGTTGTTTGATGTTGTCAAAAGTTAGTGTGGATGGATCTCGCTGTTGTAGTTTTTTTTAAAAAAAAGGAAAAAAAGAATGTTGTAATATTTTTAGGACAACAAACCATAAAACACAATTTGATTAGTTAAGAGTAGATTTCACTCTGGTCCACATATATATGTTCATTTATACAGTGAATGTTTGTAGATTATTGAATTTGTGATGTTAATATTAGAAACCATCATTTTACGCTGAATAACTTACAGTCCTCCAATTATCAAACACATATATAATTTTATCTTAGTTCTTAAAGTGCACCTTTGTTCTATTTGTACACCATGAAAAAACATTGGTAAAATGTAAATTTATTATCTTGAAATAGAAATTTACCTTAGTGTGAAAATGTTGGAGGTGGTTCAAGTGATCAATTCTCATCTGAGTGGGGTTAGGCAGTTAATTTCCATACCTTCAAAATTTCCACACACAAAAAGAGAGAAACTAATTATTCTTATTTAGTGCTATTAAGGAGAGAAAGTTAAATTTTTGAAACAAATGCAGGAGTGTAGACCCTTTTGATACAAAAAAAAAGTACCTTTCAAATTATAATGTTCTCCGAAGAATACCAAAAGATGTAAAAACACGAAAGTGGGATGAACTTCATTGATATAAGACTATAATCAATTAAGTATATGGAACTATTAGTTATTCGTGTATATAAAAGGTAGACTTTGCTTTACTGACAGTAAATGCAAAAAACAAGACCTATATTTTAACATATGACATTACATTCACTTCTACTTGAAAGTTTGTTTATCTTAAACAAAAGGAAAATTCATTGGAAAGTTGTCTAAATTTAAACCATAACGATTATCAAAGATGGTGATTCAAAGAAACTTAAATATAGAATTCGCAGGAATGAATGACGCTGAAGAAAGTTTTCATTTCTTAAGAAACTTGCAAGTTTTATCTAAGTTAGGGAGAAAATGTCTTCAAATCCAACTACATTTCTATTTCACGTTAGCCAAAAATATTGCACCTAGAAATTCATATCATATAATACAAATATGTATATTTTTGTAACTCATAAATTTTTAATCTAAGGGAATTCAGATTCTAGTTAGGATGAGTGAATGACAACTTAGCATTGCAAAACCGTTTTTTGTACCTTTACAAAAATGAGTAAGTGTGCCACTAATATTTTATTTAGTTTATAACACAAGTCATTGCTTTATTTAAAGGGGGAAGAAGTTGTTGAATTCTCTTTTTTATTTAATGTAAGAAATGGGAAAATCGGCAGTGATTTTCATTGTGATGGTATTAGTACTAATTTGATTGTCGTTTAGATTATGTAACATCACTAAGTTGAATTTTCATATTTCTAATTTTTAAGCCACAAAACATCCTACAAATTCAAACAAGAGCAAGATGGCGTCCAATTTAATTACGTATATTCATTTTGCTTTAGCTGGATTGACTCAAAAGGATCATTCCCTAATTACAATGTTGGATGTAGAATAATTTCAAAAATCATCATAATCATCATGTTGCTTTCCTTGTATGCTTGAAGAATTTATTGATTTTTCTTCATAGGTCAAGTTTTCGCCCACTTCAAGGTCTTCATATTGTATAATATGGTTGGGATCGGGGTGATACTTCTTAAATAGGGATACATGAAACACGCTATGCATTTTGGAGAGGTGGGGCGGAAGTTCAAGTTGGTATGCAACTTTTCCGATCCTTTTGGTAATATCAAACGGTCCCACATTTCTCGGACTTAACTTACCTTTCTTTCCATGTTTAATAATTCCTTTCTGCGATGATACCTTTAGAAACACTTTTTCACCAACCTCGAACTCCAGATCCTTTCGGCGGTTATCTGCATAATTCTTTTGCCGACTTTGCGCGGTTTGTGGTTGATGACGAATCAATCGCACCTTTTGATATGCTTCCTCAACCCAGGGTATCTGATCCGATTGAATAATTTTCCTTTCGCCAACCTTATCTTAGTGCAACGGGGTACGACATTTTCAACCATATAGTGCCTCATAGGGTGCCATTCTAATGGAAGAATGATAACTATTGTTGTAGGCAAACTCTACCAACGTAAGGTGTTGGTTCCAGTTAGCTCCAAAATCAAGAATGCACGTACGGAGCATGTCTTCAAGAGTTTGGATTGTTCGTTCCGATTGGCCGTCTATCTAAGGGTGTGCTCTAGTGCTAAAGTTTAATTTGGTACCTAAACTCTATTGCAGCTGTTGCCAGAGACTGGAAGTGAAACCAGGATCTCGATAAGAGACTATGGTAACTGGTATGCCGTGTAGCCTCACCACTTTATCTATATAAATCTGGGCTAATTTTTCCAGCGGATATCTCATGTTCACTGGTAGAAAATGAGTAGACTTGGTTAATCGGTCAACAATTACCCAAATCGCATCATAACCCTTAGATGTTCGAGGTAATGCACAAACAAAATCCATAGCAATGTGCTCCCACTTCCATTCAGGTATATCCAATGGCTGCAATAGCCTGGAGGGTCGTTGATGTTACAACTTCACCTATTGACAGGCAAGGCATGTTGCAACATATTGAGCAGTATCTTTCTTCATGTTACCCCAGTGATAGTATGACGTCAAGTCCTTATACATCTTGCTATTCCCTGGATGGGCTGTATAGGTGGACCGATGCGCTTCCTCAAGGATTGCTTTCTTCAATTCGGTACTTTGGGGCACACACTCGGTTCTGGAATTTTAAGATTCCATCAGGTCCTAACGTATACTCAGGTAGTTCTCCCATCTCAACTCGCTTGCGTAGTTGTTGCCAAGTTGGATCCTGTCCTTGGGCCTTCTTAAGTTGAAGTAATAATGTTGGATGAACTGCAATGTTGGAACATGTAACCCTCTCTCGGGCTTGTATCTGGTTCCAACCACTGACATATTCGAGCAACTCCATCTTCCGAGCCGTCAACCTTGCTACTTGAACTTTTCTACTTAAAGCATCAGCTACCACATTAGCTTTTCCAGGATGATAATATATCTCACAATCGTAATCTTCCAGAAATTCAATCCATCTGTGCTGACGTAGATTCAACTCCTTCTGTGAGAAAAGATACTTAAGGTTCTTGTGATCAGTGTAGATATCAAAAGTGACTCCATATAAGTAGTGTCTCCATTTCTACAATGCAAATACCACTGCTGCAAGCTCGAGACCATAAGTCGGATAGTTTTGTTCATACAGCTTTAGTTTTCTAGAGCCGAATGCGATCACTTTCTCATTCTGCATTAATACACATCCAAGACCTTCTTTTGAAGCATCTGTGTATATCATAAAATTTCCTTTCTCACTAGGGAGGGCAAGGATTGGTGCCGATGTAAGCCGCCATTTTAGCTCTTGAAAACTGGCCTCGGTTCTATTATCCCACACAAACTTGACCTGCTTTTGTATCAACCTCATTAATGGTGCAGCCAATTTGGAGAAATCAGGGACAAACGTTCGGTAATATCCTGCTAGGCCCAAAAACCTACGTTTCTCTATTGGAGTCTTAGGCCTCTTCTATGTAAGGATAGCCTCGATCTTAGAATGGTCAATAGCGATACCTTCTCGTGAAATGACGTGACCTAAAAAAGGTACCTTTTCCAGCCAAAATTCGCACTTACTAAACTTAGCGTACCACTTATGTGCTCTCAAAGTTTGAAGTACTATCCTTAGATGTTCTTCATGCTCAGTAAGGGTCTTAGAATATACCAAAATATCATCAATAAAGATCACTGCAAAATGATCTAGGTATGGCTAGAAGACTCGATGCATCAAGTCCATAAAAGCTGCAGACGCGTTGGTCAATCCAAATGGCATAACAACAAACTCATAATGATCATAACGGGTGTTGAACACTGTCTTGGGTACGTCTTCTTTCTTGATTCGTAACTGATAGTATCCTTGTCTCAAATCCAGTTTTGAGAACACTGTCGTGCCATGGAGCTGATCAAAAAGTTCATCAATCAATGGTAATGGGTACTTATTTTTGATGGTTATCCTATTTAACCTCGATGTATAGCCTCCCATCTTTCTTTTTAACAAATGAAACATGAGCTCTCCAATGTGACGTACTAGGTTGAATGAATCCTCGGGATAACAAATCTTGAAGCTGGATTTTAAGTTCCTTAAGTTCTATTGGGGCCATAAGGTACAGAGTCTGGGAAATTGGGTTCGCACTGGAGGCTAAATCTATAACAAATATAATTTTCCTATCAGGTGGTAACAATGTCAGCTCGTCTGTGAATACATCAGGAAATTCTTTAACAATTGAACTTCTTGTAGTTTCAGTTTATCCTGAGGTTTATTTATGATATAGGCTAGACATCCTATTGCCCATTTCCAAAGCAACCTCCTAGCATGAGCAGAGGAAATTATGCCCCCCTTCTTTGATTATCCTTTTAGACGAATGTGCAAAATGTCCTTCCCGGGAATACGAAATTTTACTTGGTCCGACAATCTAATTGGGCGTGGTACTGTGACAACCAACCCATCCCTAATATGACATCATAATCTTGTATAGGTAACATGATTAGGTTGGCTGGAAATTTCCTTTCCTGTACTTCTACCTGGTATAACGTGTCGGTAAGGATTCTTTTACTTGATGTGGGGGTACCAACCTCTAGATAGTAGGGTAATTGTTTTGTCTTAAGATTACATTTTTTTTTATAAGGGTTGGTGCAACAAAAGAATGAGTAGAACCAGGATCTATCAGAACGGTAGCTAATTGATTGAAAACAAAAAGCGTACCTTCGACAACATCGTTAGGCTCTGGTTCATCCCGCTTTCTAAAGCAAAGACTCGTGCAGGAACTCAGGGTTTACGAGCCTCCCCTTCGGGCTTCTGTGGGAGTGGGGCAGCTCCAGCTTGAGAACTCGGTCCTGATTTATCACGAATATTTGGGCATTCACGAGCATAATGTTCAGTACTCCCGCAAGCAAAACACCCTTGTTGTTTAAACAAGCAGTCCTTCTCAAGTTGCCCAGCTTTACGGCAGAACAAACAGGTTGGCACCGAGTTTGATCCAGGTTGGACTCTGTCAGTTGGTTTGGGAGGACCCATTCGTTTTCCTGGAAGAATTCCTGATCGTCTTGGAGGAATATTTCCTCTAGGTTTCAGCCACGCATTTGTATTAGACCGCTTCTGATTGTGGAAGTTTCGAAGCTTAGCCTGACTACCATCCACTCTTTGGGCAGCCTCAAACATCCCTTCGAAAGACTCATATTTGGTAGTGGATAGTGAAGCTTGAATCTCCAAATTAAGGCCCTGTTCAAATCTCTACCATCGTTCCTCATCTGTCTCGACCAACTTAGGAGCAAACCTTGACAACTTGGTAGAGGTAGCTTCATATTCAAGTACGGTTGCATTGTTCTGGCGAAGTTTGATGAATTCCCCTTGCTTACGTTTGTGCACAATGGCAGGTATATACTTAGCAGTGAATTCTTTGAAAAAGTTGGCCCAGGTATAAGGCACATGGTCTCAATCCCAATGGAGTTTTATCAACATCCACCAAGTTTTGGCTGTGGCCTCCAGCCGATACACTGCAAACGTAACTTGACGTTCCTCAGAGTACTTGAGAGCGTCAAATATTTCAGCTATGGTCTCTAACCACAATTCTGCTTTCTCATAGTTTGGTTCTCCATTGAACTTTGGAGCTTAAACTTGTGGAAGCATTCTAGCGCCACATCTTCACCTTTTCCAACGTTCTGTGGTTGTCCCTGTGGCAGTAGTGCTATTGCCCCCATTTGCTTGTAATACTTTCTCATTTGCTCAAACGCACGGGTCATCTCCAACGTCATATGACCCATACTAGCCTCTTGCTCAGGACGGGTTTCCACGGGCTCAGGTTGGGTATGCTCTTCCATCTTCTACATATATTTCTAAAGTTGCTAAAATTAAAAAGTTCTGAAAACTAAAGGGAGATGTATAGCAGGAAATTAAAGGAGGACCAATATAAGGGAAACTCTACTCAGATAAAATAGCAACCAATATTTACATGGATGTTTGACAACTAAGCTTTTCTCCTACAACTCAGGACCTAGACAGTTTGTCAGCTAAACTGCATAATGGTTCAAATGGAATTATATTATACCAAAAGATTAATATAACTAACACCCAAGGAAAGCCAAAAGAACTAACAAACTTACACACTACATAAATACGTAGCCCTAATGATATCACTCAACCATCACCTCAGGACCCTCGATGGCCTCCACATGGCTAAGAGAAGCTTGGAGAAGGGTATCAGCACATTCAAGCACACTCTCTTTATAGTGTTGAAACTTAGCACGTGCGAACTGTATTTCTACATGTGCTAACTGCAGCTCTGCACGCAACTGGTCGAGCTCCTGATTTTTGCATACAATCTGCTCCGCCGCCCTAGCAGGTGCCTCCCACTCCCTATCCTCAGCATGTTTGGCACGTAACTCCATCTCCTACATCAGCTCCAGTGGATGATGGCATATCTTGACAGCATGTTCCACATGCTCGAGAAGATCATCCCTTTCCCTTGCTACGGCCTTCACTACATGGTTTGGGTATGAATGGGTCTCAAGGTGTCGGCACAAACGTGAACGACTTCCCCAGTCAGGAGTGTAGGTGAAATACCTAGATCCCTCCTGACGTTTAAAGCGGATAGCTGGTGCTTGCTCTATAAGATCCTACCTGGAATGGAGAAAGGTCAGTACTTTTCCATATGAAAACATAGCTTAACTTATACCACAAATATTTTCTACCCACCTGTTAAACTATAAACTTGACGTATATTCTAAACCAAGCTCTATAAACACGTTTCTATTAGGATACCACCAAAATAGAACTATTAAATAAGCATATTCACCAAAAGTTTCAAAACCATTGTGATAACATATAAAATCACATACATGTTCTAATAACATAATATTTTACATAGATTACTCACGACCACACATTTCCAACTACCAATGTACAAAACGACTAGTTTTTCCAACCTATTTACATAAGTGGAAGGACACTACATTACAACAAAAGGGTCCTTATAGATTATTTAAAACGAAGTCGATAGTATTTGACCCCTAATATACACATTCAGGTCTAGTGGCTCTATTAACCTACTTAGCCACCGATTCAGTGTTGTTTCCCACGCGCTCTTGCTCATCTCCAGATGTTGCCTTCAGTCCTTCGTTAGATTCAATATAGTCGCAGGCCACTTCCATCCCTGCACCAGAGCTTGTTGCTTCATCGGTCGGGAAAGCTCGAGACCCCAGGCATCCCTGATACAATTCTTTACGTAGCTAGTAGATTTTGTGATCCTTTGCCTCTATCTCACGATCTTTCAGTTCTATCTCGTAATTCCTACGCTTGAGTTGCTGATTTTTATGTCATTTGCTTATCCCAATCTGCCATCCATGTCGACATTTCCCACTCCCGATATTCAGCAGCCTTAGCCCGTTGTTCCAAATTCCTTACACGCTCCCGTTGCTGCTCCTGTGTATGTAGGTCACGCTCTTCTCGACGTCGGAGCTGATCTCTTTCACGAACAACTGCATATACCACATGGTTTGGGTAAGAATGGGTTACGAAGTGTTGGCACATGTTTGCTCGTACTACATAGGGTGCCCAAAGGCGATGCCTTGCTCCTTCGTGACGCTGATAGCGTATAACATGTGCACGCTCCATAAAATCCTACAACGAAAGAATAATTAGTGACTATTACCCATGTCGGTATACTCGCGTAATACCGACACTACAGGTACCAACTCGATCGCTAATCGCGCTCTGATACCACTTGTGATGAGATGAACTAGAATCACCCAGGTTATCCAGTTGAATGATCAAGCTAAGGCGTCCACCTAGCTCGCGCTGAAGTTCATTTATCGTTTAATCATTAAAACCAGCAAACTTTATATTAGATAAAAACACAGAGGCAACATTATTACAAAACTCAAACGTGAGTTTGAGTTATGTTCCTCGATAAAAGGGTTATATTACACACGCGCAATCTAACACAAACTAGCTAGCTAACTATTTATAGCGAACACCGTCTCCCGAACTGATCATTTCATAGCCTGGCTAAATATCCATCGCGCTTAGACCTGGGAGTGGGTTAGGGGAATAAAGTATAAAATGAGTGAGCGCCGAGCTCGGTGAGGTTCTTACTATACTACTACGATACTTTTCATGAAACTATTTTCATAAATATATTCAAAAGTAAAATAGTTTCACAGATAATTATTCAGCAATCAACTATTTCACATTAAACAGTTATCAATGGGGTGGATACGGGGAAATCTTAGCAAGGACTGTCAAAGCGCTTATGTGGCAAAGAGACAGACTCCGAGCCAGATTTCAACAACACGTTAACAATAACGATTCAATATCGTTAACAATTCCTCCTCAAATCCTCATGGTCACCATTGGATACTCATGAGCTCCACGTCTATCCGGACAATACGATAAGCCTAGATAAGCTAACCTGGCGACCAAGCTCGATGCCGGCTCGCAAGGCTTTGCTTAACAAAGGCAGGGCCAAGGCTCCAAGTGAACAAAGTCCATTGAAGCAACAATCACATGTTATTTCACAAAAATCAATCAATAACAACAATAGTTGTCCTGGAGTGATAAAGTATACTACCAGAAGCAACACATTCAACGATTATACTCAATCCAGTAGCTAGTCAGCAATAACGTTCAAGCACATCAACGATTTCACTTAGAACACGTATCCCATGGGCTATTGGTCATTCAATAATATGCAATCTAACACTTCAACAAGATATAAAAATGTGCTCACGTGTATAGTGACTTACAATATATATTCTCATACTACCAGTTTTTTAAAAGAGTGAGAATTACTCACCAGCGTTGCTGAGCTGGTAAGTATCCTCGTCTACTTGGTCTGCAGATAAACATTTCCAATATTACTAACTTATTTGATAAACATGTTCTGTATACTTGCTTACTAACTTAACTAGGTGAGATTAGTCGTATCTAGTTCATAATTAAGTTTAGCTATAACAAATACCTTAGTTACTACTGTTATCATCATCATTAACATTATCTTAATAGTTTACTTGTTTATTATTATTAATAATAATATATGCATCGTTTAATTGTTCAGTATTATTATTATTATTATTATTATTATCATCATCATCATCTTTCATTCTTGTCACCATAATTAAATATTAGATGTAAGATTCTTTCTTTTTGATCTAGTATACACATATATAGATCTACGTAAACTTTAATTTAGTTTTGTTTTAACTAGTTTTCTTTACTTTTATGTGTTTATGGTTTTTGGCTAATCAAGCTAGTTCCCATCTTAATTGTTTAACTACTGGTCTTCCTTGTGAATTTTTTTTTTTTGTTTTGAACGTGAGTCTAGGTTCAGGGGAGAATATAAGAATCACATGTTTCCTCTATGTATATTTATTCCAATAAAACCTTTTAATCTGTCCACCAAAGCTTAAGGCATATTAATTGGAAAATGGTTTTCTTGATCTCAATTAGTTCCAGCCCGATTAATAGCCAGGAACCTTGTGGAGGTGGCTGTCTAATTGATACAACTAAAGGTCAACTTTGGTGTCTTCAGTTTGGCTCGATTTTGAAAATTTTCTAACGTTTAGTTATCATTTATTTATCTTCTTATTCCATAAGGTGGCTGGAGTAGCGAGGGACTTTAATCTCAGCTGCTTCCTCATCTACAATCAAAGAACGAATTGGTTTCCAACAGCCCTATTCCCGTCGATCAATTTCGGTTGTCGTTCAAAGCTATAGTTACCTACGATTGTCTACTTGTTGTTCTTGTGGTCAAGGCTAACAAACTCTACTATCTAACATGTATAATTCATATCACCTCCTGGAGTTCTAAAATCAACATCAGCTCACTTCGTTCTCGGCTAAAATTAAACCCCCGACTAATTATATTCCAATACTCAAGTCATTATTTTCATCAAGTGTTCTTCATGCTTCCCATATCAACTTAAATCCATAACTAAAAGAAAGAACATGCCAGCATCAATCATCTTTCAATAAAGAAGAGTGGTGATTACCTATTTACACGATACTAGAGCACAAGGACGTCCGAAACCGAAACCGAAACCGAGCTACTTCTTCTTCTTCCTTTTCGGTTCCTCTTCCTTCTCTCTCTCTCTCACTCTTTTGTTCCCTCTTTTCACTTTTTTTTTTTGTTGTCTCTCCTAGCTCCCTTAAGCTCTCCTATTTACAGGTTATTCCCACTTCTTGCTTTTATATTAATGAGTCCGACGAAGGCTCCTTTAGGCGGTCAGCACATAAAATTTTATTATTGTTATTACCTTAGCTTACTTCCTACGATTTACTTGTGTATTAATCCAGCAATTTGGTCTGAAAAATAGATACCTCAAGCTTAGATTTATCCTTGTGTTAGTCTATAAGTCTAGAATCTCATTATTTTTTTATTATTTAAAACTTACTAGTTTCCCCGTTTTAAAACCCAAGGCATAATCATGATTGCATTTCTGCCTCTAACCATATCCCTAATATATATCTTATTCATGAATTATTTTTCGAGAAGGAGAGCACAAATTGTACTTCCAATTACTTCCGTAAAGCAAAGTTAATTTAGAATAAAACTTCCAATGCACTAGTACAACGTACACAAATTAATAATATTTAGATTAGTACTAGATCTTTTTAATTTTTTTTGGTGTTCTCATAAAACCGTCCTAATTCATCCATTTTGTCCATTTTCAATTATCTTGGTATTTCCAAGCCTAAGGTATTAAATTTATTTATTTATTTATTGTTGTTTAATTTACTCGTAAGTTTAATGCTAAACTAGCTACCTCTTGATTAATATGATTTCTACTCTCCCGTTCTATTATCAGGGAACTATATGTAATATCAAGCACGTTAAATTTCGCTTATGTTACAAAACTAACTAAAATTATGTAAATATGTGAACCCTAAACTAAAGAGTGAAGAACAAAGCTTTAATTTCTATTAAAGATGCTGAAAAATGAGATAAAAATCCTTAAATTCGGGTACAAAGGGTATTTATAGGTGAGGGGTACGTTGGGTCTAAAATGTACATACAACAAAGTATAAGGCTCAATTGCTCGTCCTTGAAAGTAGAGAATTGATAAGAGTTTGGGGTTGCTTCGCGCGGCATCTGGAATACTTGGGGTTGCAACGACGAGCGGAAGCCTTTAGTTGCAAATGTTGGTTGGGGCTTTTCTGTAATTTTGGGAAGTTTCTTTCTTCTTCCTCTTCGGTCTGAAATTTCAGCGGCCATTATTGCCGGATTCCGGCACCAATTTCTTCCCCGGATTTGCATGATTCAGCCACCCAAACAGCAATAATTTATCTCATATTTTTATCCCATATCCTGTGGAACAAATCCCTTGCATTGGATTCGCCGGTAGAGGCCGATTTGAAGATTTCTCCTCACTATTAATTAAAACTTTTCTTG